TAAACCGGGTCTCAATGGGAGGAATTCTGGATAATGTATTCCAGGAGACTCAGCAGAGAGCTTGAACTAAACATTATCTTTATTCTTTACCATTAACTTAAATATAAAAAGCATCCTAAACCAGATCATGCCATTAGTAACCACCAGGGAGAAATTATATAAAACTGTACGAACAATTGCAGGCTCATGGCTGATCTAAACCGAAATCTATAATTAATTTCGACTGTTGGTACACTGTGCATCCGCCTGCAGAGATTGGAGATGTTACACTGGTCTGTGCACCCATGCACAAAGCTAATGCAACACCCAAATGTCAGGGCGAGTGCAATCATGGATAATGACAGGCTAGTGGTGTATTTCAGACATGGATACAGCCATGCCGGTGTACAGTAGACTAATAGACAGCGTGATTTATTCAGCAGCGTCTTTTAACACAGTTCACAGCTTGCCAGAATTGGTCTTTGATATAAAAAATATGAGCCGTTGTCCGCAAACATCTAAAATATCTAGAATACTAGAAGCCTATTTCTTTTCATGTAAATTATCCTTCTCTCTGGTTGATTTGTAGCTAATAGTGCTTAATAATGCAAGCAATGGATTTTAATAATTTTCTAAGAGATAGGATGCAGTTATTCCATGACAGATGATAAAATGGTTAGATGGTTTGCTAGTCAAAGTTGGTCTAAGATGGTCTTGACTTCCGGAAAATTGCTCAAAGCCCCTCTAAAATCAACCATGTGCTGGTTTAAGCTGTTTTTGGTACCGCTCACACTGTTCTCAGAATATGTAAGATCTAGTTTGTATTGCTACTCCCTTTTTAATTTCATGTAACCCCTCATTCTTTTTTCATCCACACTAGAATTAATCGTCATTAACTGCTATTTTTATCCTGGTGTGTGTCTTGTCTATGTGTTCTTTATACACGGTGTGAAGATATGGTTTGCTTGTGTATTGGATTAGAAAAGAAACCTTGATGAGTAGCTATTGAATGCAATTCTGAAACAATAAAGAGCCACATACTGGATCCATACCCCCCAGCTCTGTTAATGGAAAACAATAAACAATGTCCATTGTCACAAACGCTTCTTAATACATACTACGTCATATACGCTGGCGTGAAAGGCATGGAGTTCTCTTTGAGCTTTAAAGGAGTTATAAATCACACGCTTACAGTTTGCCGCAAGGCACATTGACTGTCCTCTCTTCACTTGCCATACACAAGTATACACACTATGATCAAGGACTCTCATCTCAGTTCAGCTTGTCATCTAAAGGGATGTCACATACCCCTCATATTGGCTTTGTGTTTGTGGACATAAATCTAAGATTCCCTCTAGGCGGTCTTTATGACTCGTAGTATACATACATTAATGTGGAGGAGATGATCACTTCATGTGCGCCTCGCGCTGCCGCGTCTGTTGAACTGAGGCGCTACAGCAATCTGTCACTCCACATTAAACGGCGCCAAAACGGCATTTGTTGTTTAAATGCTGCAATACAATGAATAGAATTTGAAATCTGAGACTTTGTTTCATATTAAAAGTACCAAAGCACCATGCTTATTGCAATATATTGGATGGGAGGTCCCTTCAATGTTCCGTCCATTAACTGAAAACAGGCTAGACTAATCGATTCTTGGGATTTAAGAATCGATATCGTTCCGTAAAAATGAGAATCAATTAAAATCGAGATATCGATATTTTTATACATAAGAGTCAGTTGGTACTACATTACTATAATACTGAAGGTTAACATTGACTGATTTGTAGGCTAATATACAACTGCTAAAATTACACTTAATGAAGTTTTTAAAATAATAAAGTTACAATTAGCTACATTAATACTTCTTCAATTCGTTTTTTGAAATATAAACTTTTAAATGGTGGCTGTCAAAAACTTGGTGGATTTATTCAAACATAAATGAAACATTGAAGAACAGTAAAAA